AATAATAATAATAATAATAATAATAATAATAATAATAATATAAAATGATACTTTCATCGATGACTTTGAGTCCTGTTATGGGGAGAAAGGTGGGTGCAGATTAATAATAATAATAATAATAATAATAATAATAATAATAATATAAATAATAATATAAAATAATACTTTCATCGATGACTTTGAGTCCTGTTATGGGGAGAAAGGTGGGGTGCAAATTAAAATAATAATAATAATAATAATAATAATAATAATAATAATAATAATAATATAAAATAATACTTTCATCGATGACTTTGAGTCCTGTTATGGGGAGAAAGGTGGGGTGCAGATTAATAATAATAATAATAATAATAATAATAATAATAATAATATAAATAATAATATAAATAATAATATAAATAATAATATAAAATAATACTTTCGTCGATGGCTTTGAGTCCTGTTATGGGGAGAAAGGTGGGGTGCAAATCTCAGCGGCCTTCGATACCGTCGATCACGGTATCCTTCTGGGCCGCCTCATGGATATGGGGCTCGGAGGCACTGCTTTGCGGTGGCTCCGATCCTTCCTAGAGGGACGGACCCAGAAGGTGTTATTGGGTGACACCTGTTCGGCCCCACAACCGTTGTTGTGTGGAGTCCCACAGGGTTCAATCTTGTCCCCGATGTTATTTAACATCTACATGAAGCCGCTGGGAGAGATCATTCGGAGTTTCGGAATGAGGTGTTATCTCTACGCAGATGATGTCCAATCTGTCACTCCTTTCCACCTGTCACCAAGGAGGCTGTCCAGACCTTGAACCGGTGCTTGGCTGCTGTGTCGGACTGGATGAGAGCTAACAAATTGAAACTGAATCCAGACAAGACAGAGGTCCTACTGGTCAGTCGTAAGGCCGAACAGGGCATAGGGTTACAGCCTGTGTTAGACGGGGTTACACTCCCCCTGAAGACGCAGGTTCGCAGCTTGGGAGTGATCCTGGACTCATCGCTGAGCCTGGAACCCCAGGTCTCAGTGGTGGCCGGGAGAGCTTTCACACAATTAAAACTTGTGCACCAGCTGCCCCTGTACTTTGGGAAGTCAAACTTGGCCATGGTGGTCCATGCTCTTGTTACATCTAGGATAGACTACTGCAATGCACTCTGCATGGGGTTGCCTTTGAAGACTGCTCGGAAGCTTCAAATAGTCCAACGAGAGGCAGCAAGGCTAATAACTGGGGCATCATACAGGGAGCATACCACCCCCTTGTTGTGTCAGCTCCACTGGCTGCCGATCCAGTTCCGAGCACAATTCAAAGTGCTGGTTTTGACCTACAAAACCCTATACGGTTCCGGCCCAGTGTATCTGTCCGAACGGATCTCCCTCTACGTCCCACCCCGGAGTCTAAGATCTTCTGGGGAGGCCCTGCTCTCGACCCCGCCTCTATCACAAGTGAGATTGGCGGGGACGAGGAGCAGGGCCTTCTCGGTGGTGGCCCCCCACCTGTGGAATTCACTCCCCGGGGAAATTAGATCTGCAACATCGCTCCTTTCTTTTAGGAAAAAACTAAAAACATGGATCTGGGACCAGGCATTTGGGCAGGCGGGCAAATAAAGAAAGAACTTTATTGATGGCTAGGAAATGACTAACGGACTGGACATGAGGAACTCTGGAAACGAAACGCTGATTATAAGAATGATTTTTATGATATTTTATATAATGTGTTATGCACCGGTTGTTGATGTTTTAACTGTGATGATCGTTTTAATTATATTTTTGTATATTTGTTTTTGTATATTTTTGTATACTATGTGTAAAGTATAAAGGCATCGAATTCTGCCTTCTTTGTAAGCCGCCCTGAGTCCCCCTCCGGGGGTTGAGAAGGGCGGGGTAAAAGTACCAGAAATAAATAAATAAATAAATAAATAAATAAATAATAATAATAATATAAAATAATACTTTTGTCGATGACTTTGAGTCCTGTTATGGGGAGAAAGGTGGGGTGCAGATTAATAATAATAATAATAATAATAATAATAATAATAATAATATAAATAATAATATAATAATATAAAATAATATTTTCATCGATGGCTTTGAGTCCTGTTATGGGGAGAAAGGTGGGGTGCATATTAATAATAATAATAATAATAATAATATAAATAATAATATAAAATAATATTTTCATCGATGGCTTTGAGTCCTGTTATGGGGAGAAAGGTGGGGTGCAAATTATTATTATTAATAATAATAATAATATAAAAAATACTTTTGTCAATGACTTTGAGTCCTGTTATGGGGAGAAAGGTGGGGTGCAAATGAGTAATAATAATAATATTTTATTATTATTATTGTTATATTATATTATTAATAATAATATAAAATAATAATTAATAATAAATAAATTAAATTAAATTATAAATAATATTAAATAATAATGCTCATAATATAATTATAATGTTGTTGCAACAAGACAACAACATATTTGGTTTAGGCATGTGTTAGTGAAACACAGGTGCAGGGTCATGCAATGGGAAGGGAACCCCAAAGGACATCTAGTCCATCCCAATTCTGCAGGAAATACACAGCCAAAGCATCTCCAGAAAAGGTCAAACCAGGGCAAATAGAGTGTCGCCGAGCTACAAATCCCAGGGTTCCACAGCACCAAGCGCCGGCTGCGCAAGTGGCATTAAACTGGATTAATTCTGCAGTGTAGACGCACCCAATGGGGCCTTTTTCTTCCTTCCCCTCACTTTCCCTGCTATGCCTTTAAGACATACAGGCCTTGCTGTAATTAACTATCTCCAGATGCAAAAGAGAAGCCAATTAATTTTCTTTGTTCTTGGCTTGAGGGCAGGGAGCAGGAAAACAGTTTCCAAGAAGCACTTTTGTGTTTATGGCAGGCAAAAAGGATTTGGGAAAGGGATCCAACCTGACAGCCCTAATAAGGTGCAAACAGTACACCTTTTTTTGGCGGGGGGGGGGGGGGATACAAATCCCAACATCCTCATTGGCTGCAAGGAAGGAGAGTTTGCTTCTTTTGCACCAAACTTCCAGGAGGAATGCTTGCAAGAAGAGCATTGCAAATGCACAAAGCCAACAGCTGGCATGGGGTTTTGCACCCACTTTTGCACCCAGTTGGAGGCACACGACAAGTGTCGTGTGCCTCCAACTGGGTGCAAAAGTGGGTGCAAAACCCCATGCCAGCTGTTGGCTTTGTGCATTTGCAATGCTCTTCTTGCAAGCATTCTTCCTGGAAGGCAAAGGAAACAAGTCTGGGGCTTTTTTTTTTTTTGGCTCTGAGTTGCATCTCTGTATGTGACAGGCCTGCATTCCTAAGGTTATTAATAGAGAACCCAGCCGGGTGGGGATTCCCAGGCAGTCTGTAGAGATGGAAGGGAACCCCAGAGGGCATCTAGTCCACCCCTTGTGTCATTAAGAGAGACGCAACCAAAGCCCTCCCAACAGATGGCCATCCAACCCTCCTTTCAAAAGCTCCGCTAAACTCCCAGCCAGTCTATATTCTTGCTAGAGTTGGAAGGGACACCCAAAGGGCATCTAGTCCACCCTTTCTGCCATTAAGAGAGGCACAGTCAAAGCCCTCCCAGCAGATGGCCGTTCAGCCCTAATTCCACTGGACTCTCAAGCGGTCTATATACTCTCACTAGAGTTGGAAGGGACCCCCCAAAGAGCATTTAGTCCATCCATTCTGCCATTAAGAGGGACACAACCAAAGCCCTCCCAACAGATGGACATCCAGCCCTCCTTTCAAAAGTTCCGCTAGACTCCCAGGCAGTCTATGTGCTTGCTAAAGTTGGGACACCCAAAGGGCATCTAGTCCACCCCTTCTGCCATTAAGAGAGATACAGTCAAAGCCCTCCAGCAGATGGCCGTTCAGCCCTAATTCAAAACCTCCACTGGACTCTCAAGCAGTCTATAAACTCTCACTAGAGTTGGAAGGGACCCTCAAAGAGCATCTAGTCTACCTCTTCTGCCATTTATAGAGGCACAGCTCTAATCAAAACCTTCACTGGACTCTCAAGCAGTCTATACTCTTCTCAGAGTTGGAAGGGACCCCCAAAGGGCATCTAGTCCATCCATTCTGCCATTAAGAGAGGTACAGTCAAAGCAGTCCTGATAGATACCCATCTAGTCCTAATTCGAAACCTTCACTGGACTCTCAAGCAGTCTATACTCTTGCCAGAGTTGGAAGGCGCCCTCAAAGGGCATCTAGTCCACCCCTTCTGCCATTTAAGGAGGCACAGCCAAAGCCCTCCCAATAGACAGCCATCCAGCCCTAATTCAAAACCTTCACTAGACTTCTAGGTAGTCTATATCTCTCCCTAGAGTTGGAAAGGAGCCCCAAAGGGCATCTAGTCCACCCCCTTCTGCCATTTAAGGAGGCACAGACAAAGCCCTCCCAATAGACAGCCATCCAGCCTTAATTCAAACCTTCACTGGACTTCTAGGTAGTCTATATACTCTCACTAGAGTTGGAAGGGAGCCCCAAAGGGCATCTAATCCACCCCCTTCTGCTATTAAGGGAGGCACAGTCAAAGCCTTCCTATGATTACATAATAATTTTGTATTATTATTGTTGTTGTTATTTGGTATTTGTTAGCATGTACTAAGTTGAAAGTATATCCATATTGAGAAATGTGCACTCCCTGTGCACACGCACACACTCACTCACACACACACACAAATATATCAATACCTATATGCTTTTAACCACTAATAGATAACATACACACAAACAAATACCAAGAAGAGAAGATGAAGAGATGGCCAGTAGGCTGTTAGGAATTGGAGGGAGGGATGAAGTTGGCCCAGGCCTGCTTTAGTTGGAGACCCTGCACTGAGCAGAATGGGGTTGGACTAGATGGCCTCAAGGGGACCCTCCCATGTCTAGGATGCAGTGATGCTCCAATGCCTTTCTCTTGTGGACCTTCAGTGTATCCTCTTTTGAAATTCCACCTGTGACAATGTCTTCCTTTGGCTCACATGGAAACACGTCTCTCCTTAGGTCCTGGCGCATCAGGGATGTGAGCATGGACACTTCACCCTGGCTGGAGACTGCTGCGAACTCTGCCCTCCGGGTTTTGGGGCCAGCGTCCCCTGCGGAAGCGCCAACACCAAGTGTGAGCCCTGCCAAGAAGGTGAGTCTGGCTGAGCACTCCAACTTCAGTGTGTTATGGGCGTCCGCACTAAAGTCAAAGCTCGTAAGATCATTTTTGATGAATGTGGAGGTTGGGTCATCAAAGAGAGAAAATGCATTTTTAGCAGCAGCAGCAGAAAGGCACCAAGCCTTTTCCAAGCTAATTCTATGTCTAGATAGACTGGCATTGCAAAAAATTGCATTCCATTTTGCAGCTTCAAAGACTCCGAGATGTAAGTGAAAGCTATTTGAATGAAGCTGTTCAGTTGTGTAGAGTCATGGTTTTGCAAAATTGCTGCAATGTAGAAAAATGCACTCTTTCCATAGAAGCAAAGGGACAAACTGCAACACTGCAAAAGGGTTTCTGCAACTGGATTTGCAGCAATTCAAATGGGTTCCTGCAACCAGATTGCAGCATTACAAGTGGATTTCTGCAATCAGATCGCAGCACTGCATGTGGGCTTCTGCAACTGGATTTGCAGCATTTCAGCTGGGTTCCTGCAACCAGAATGCATCACTGCAAATGGGTTTCTGCAACTGGATTTGCAACGTTGCAATTGGGATTCAGCAACTAGAGTTGCAGTGCTGCAACGGGATTTCCGCAACTGGGATGCAGCACTGCAATGGGATTTCAGCAGCTGGATGTGCAGAGTTGCAACTGGAATGCTGCAAGCAGATTTGCAGTGTTGCAACTCAGTTTGCAGCACTGCAACTGGGTTTCCTGCAACTGGATTTCTGCAATCAGATTTGCATCACCACAACTGGGTATCTGCAACCAGATTGCAACACTACAGCTGAGTTTCTGCAACTGGATTTGCAGCATTGCAACTGGGTTCCTGCAACCAGATTGCAGCATTACAAGTGGGTTTCTGCAATCAGATCACAGCACTGCAAGTGGGTTTCTGCAATTGGATTTGCAGCGTTGCAACTGGCTTTCAGCAACTGGAGTTTCAGCGCTGCAACTGGATATCTACAACTGGGATGTAGCGGTGCAGTGGGATTTCAGCGACTGGATTTGCAGCATTGCAACTGGTATTCTGCAACCAGATTTGCAGTGTTGCAACTCAATTTGCAGCACTGCAACTGGGTTTCCTGCAACTGGATTTCTTCAACCAGATTTGCATCACCACAACTGGGTATCTGCAACCAGATTGCAACACTGCAACTGAGTTTCTGCAACTGGATTTGCAGCATTGCAACTGGTATTCTGCAACCAGATTTACAGAGTTGCAACTCAATTTGCAGGGCTGCAACTGGGTTTCCTGCAACTGGATTTCTGCAATCAGATTTGCATCACCACAACTGGGTATCTGCAACCAGATTGCAACACTACAGCTGAGTTTCTGCARCTGGATTTGCAGCATTGCAACTGGGTTCCTGCAACCAGATTGCAGCATTACAAGTGGGTTTCTGCAATCAGATCACAGCACTGCAAGTGGGTTTCTGCAATTGGATTTGCAGCGTTGCAACTGGCTTTCAGCAACTGGAGTTTCAGCGCTGCAACTGGATATCTACAACTGGGATGTAGCGGTGCAGTGGGATTTCAGCGACTGGATTTGCAGCATTGCAACTGGTATTCTGCAACCAGATTTGCAGTGTTGCAACTCAATTTGCAGCACTGCAACTGGGTTTCCTGCAACTGGATTTCTTCAACCAGATTTGCATCACCACAACTGGGTATCTGCAACCAGATTGCAACACTGCAACTGAGTTTCTGCAACTGGATTTGCAGCATTGCAACTGGTATTCTGCAACCAGATTTACAGTGTTGCAACTCAATTTGCAGGGCTGCAACTGGGTTTCCTGCAACCGCATTTCCCAGGCTCTGTTTTAAGGATGCCGTATTGGGGATGGGAACAAAAGGAAGGCAAGGAGATACAGCGATGTTTTGACTAACTCTCCCTCTTTCGGCGACAGGTGTTACGTTCTCCTCCGTCTTCAGTGCCACGGAACCATGCTGGCCATGTTCCCCCTGCCCTGGCAACGTGCCGGCGCTGGAAGCATGTGCTCCGACTCGCGACACCGTCTGTGCTGCCCGCTGTCCCCGGGGCCACTTCCAAGACCTGCAACCGGGGGCAAACGGGAGCCGTTTGGGTGGCCGGTGTGTCCCCTGCCAGCTGTGCCCTGGGGGCTACGGAGCAGCCAAGCCTTGCAGCCCCAGCGCTGACACCACCTGCCAGAAGTGCCCGCCGGGCTACTACTCCGAGGTTAAGAGCGCCTTCGAGCCCTGCCTGCCTTGCCGGCGCGAGTGCGGACCCAACGAGGTCATGATCCAGGCCTGCAGCCCGCTCTCGGACACGCTCTGCATGGGTCAGTATCAGGGCTTGGAGGGCCAGGACTGAGACGATGGCTATCAGGTGGAATTGTTTTGCACATTGGGTCTCTATAGCAGAGTAGAGCATAATTGAGGTCTGCTGAGCGCATAACCCATAGGGATATTATTTGGTATCTCTAGCACAGGCACAGGCAAACTTGGGCCCTCCGAGTGTTTCCAACTCCCACAATTCCTAACAGCCAGTTCGAACTCAGGGAGCGGGATGAGCTTTCGCTGTTGGACCCAGCTTCTGATAACCTAGCAGTTTGAAAACATGCAGATGTGAGTAGATCAATAGGTACCGCTTCTGCGGGACGGTAATGGCACTCCATGTGGTCATGCCGGCCACATGACCTTGGAGGTGTCTACGGACAACGCCAGCTCTTTGGCTTAGAAATGGAGACGAGCACCAACCCCGAGAGTCAGACTCGACTAGACTTAATGCCAAGAGGAAACCTTTACCTTTACTTTACCTAACAAAAAGCAATGGCCAACTCTGAAGAGGAATTCTCCTTCACAAATATTTGCATTGCATTTCTATTTCATCCTGAGTTTTTCGTCATTTTTCCTTGTACATGTGGCCCACTCACTGTGATTGTGATTTATCTAGTACTGTATTTTGCATTATTTTATTATATTCTTATGCTTTATTTTATTTTATTGCGATGTTTATTTTGTTTAGTGTTTACATCTTATTTTATTTTTCTGGTTATTTAATATTTAATGTTTATTTTACTTAAGTGATATTTGTCTTGACTGTTCTAATGTAGCACAAATCCTATGTAAAATCATACTACGTATTTTTGACATTAATATTGAAATCTGAAATATATACAGAAAGTCTTTACTTTTGGTTTTATTTTGTTGTAATGCATTTCTGGGCTTGGCCTCATGTAAGCCGCCATGAGTTCCCTTTGGGGAGATGTTTGCGGGGTATAAATAAAATATATTATTATTATTATTATTATTATTATTATTATTATTATTATTATTATTATATATTATATATTATATAATTCCAAAAAATCACTTAAGGCAAAAGCAAGAAATTGTAATCCAAGGGTTGTTGCAATAATAATAATAATAATAATAATAATAATAATAATAATAATAATAATAATAATCTGTGTACAAATCTTGTTGTGTTTCAAATAATAATAATAATTATTATTATTTATAACCTGCTCTATCTCCCAAAGGCGACTCAAGGCAGCTTCCAGCAAAAATCAAATACAATGGCAAACATTCAATGCCAGCAACAGCATAGGTAAAGGTAAAGGTTTCCTCCTGACATTAAGTTTAGTCGTGTCCAACTCTGGGGTGTGGTGCTCATCTCCATTTCTAAGAGCCGGCATTGTCCATAGACACCTCCAAGGTCATGTGGCTGGCATGACTTACCTTCCCGCCGGAGCGGTACCTATTGATCTACTCACATCTGCATGTTTTCGAACTGCTAGGTTGGCAGAAGCTGGGGCTGACAGCAGAAACTCACGCCGCTCCCCAGATTCGAACCTGCGACCTTTCGGTCAACAAGCTCAGCAGCTCAGCGCATTAACCCACTGCGCCACCGGGAGCTCCATAGCAACAGCATATAACAAATTAAAAAAAGACTCAATAACAGTTAAATAACAACTTAAATAAGCAAAAAAAATAATACATCCCAGACTTTAGCAGCATAATCAAGTTCTTAAAACTCTTAAAATTTGACTAAAACTAATTATTTGAGCTAAGATGCTATACAGCTAGCAAACAAAGGTAGAATTATATCCAAAAGCTTGGAACATGACCATAATCCAAAGGCTTGATACTTGGACTTGACTATAATCCCCAAGGTTTGAAACTTGAAACGAGATTTGTAATCTAAACAGCATGGAACTTAGAGAGGAGAACAAGATACAGATCTGAGAACAGATTGCCTAACTCAGCGCTCACAAGACAGGCAACTTGACCCATGAAAATCCAGCGTTGATCTCCCCACCAAACATTGACACCACTTTCTTAAGAATCCTCCTCCTTGGCCATGACATCACACTTCCTCACACCCGGGTTCCCTTTGCTTATCTTTCAGCCTCTGGGAACACCGGATTTGTCTCTGTTTCGTACTATCCCTTCTGATCTGTAAACGTTGGGTTATCGGTAACTCCTGTCTCCTCCACATTCCTTTCAGAGTCAATCCCTGCCTAGCTGATTTGAGAACATTCCCATTGACTCGAAAAACACTTTCGCTTTCCCTCACAGAAACACCAGGCTCAACCAGAAAATCCTTGTCCTCATCCTCAGAGGTTTCAGGGGCCCCAACACCCTGTTAATGCATGCTATTCATTTCAATAAGGTCTCACTATTACACTCTGTGCCTTCTTTCTCTGTGCAGACAAAGAGCTGCAGATCCTGAAGCGGACGGAAGGAGATCCCCGGAAGGACGTCCCCAAAAGGAACCCCCATTTGGACACGGAGGGCTTTGGCAACACTTCCTCTCCTGGTTTCACGGCCGAGGAGGAGGACAACAGCAAGGACATCATCCCCGTCTACTGCTCCATCCTGGCTGCTGTGGTGGTGGGACTCCTGGCTTACGTGGCCTTCAAGTGGTAGGTGCCATTTCCTGATTGGTTCTATAATGGGGAAAGTTTCTTAAGCTGCAAAACCTTTGCTTCTGCAGGAGGCACATCATCCTACAACACAGTTTGCTTTAGCTTTCCAATGAATATCACATTGAGTCTCAACCCCTTCAACATAGTTCGTGGCACAAAATTGAAATTTCTGGAGTAGAACAACTACTTTCAAAGTCAGGACCTCACAATGTAACAGGAAATAACACTTTCAAACCAGGAGTAGAATTTTTTTTTCCAATTTTGTGTTATGATTGAGTACGGATGTGAAATAACAGTATCAACTCTTAATAATTTAATAATAATAGTAGTGAGAGGAGAAGGGTGATAGTATTAATAGACAGCAATAATGACAACACTGATCGCTAGCTATAACTCTAACAATAATAATGACAATACTATTACTACTTCTACTGATAATAATAATAGTAGTAGTAGTAGAAGTAGTAGTAGTGAGAGGAGAAGGGTAATAACATTAATAGACAGCAATAATGACAACACTGATCACTAGCTATAACTATAACCATAACATTGACAATACTACTACTACTACTACTGGTAGTAGTAGTAGTAGTGGGAGGAGAAGGGTAATAACATTAATAGACAGCAATAATGACAACACTGATTGCTAGCTATAACTCTAACAATGATAATGACAATACTATTACTACTTCTACTGATAATAGTAGTAGTAGTGGTGGTGGTGGTGGTGGTAGTGAGAGGAGAAGGGTAATAACAGTAATAGACAGCAATAATGACAACACTGATCACTAGCTATAACTCTTAACAATAATAATGACACTACTATTACTACTTCTACTGGTAATAATAGTAGTAGTAGTAATGAGAGGAGAAGGGTAATAACATTAATAGACAGCAATAGTGACAACACTGATCGCTAGCTATGACTATAACAATAATAATGACACTACTATTACTACTTCTACTTCTACTGGTAATAATAGTAGTAGTAGTAGTAGTAGTGAGAGGAGAAGGGTGATAACATTAATAGACAGCAATAGTGACAACAATGATCACTAGCTATAACTATAACAATAATAATGACAATACTATTACTACTTGTACTGGTAATAGTAGTAGTAGTAGTAGTAGTAGTAGTGAGAGGAGAAGGGTAATAACATTAATAGACAGCAATAATGACAACACTGATTTCTAGCTATAACTATAACAATAATAATGACACTACTATTTCTACTTGTACTGGTAATAATAATAATAATAGTAGTAGTACTAGTAGTGAGAGGAGAAGGGTAATAACATTAATAGACAGCAATAATGACAACACTGATTGCTAGCTATAACTCTAACAATAATAATGATAATACTATTACTATTTCTACTAGTAATAATAATAGTAGTAGTAGAAGTAGTAGTGAGAGGAGAAGGGTAATCACATTAATAGACAGCAATAATGACAACAATGACAACAATAATAATGACACTACTATTACTACTTGTACTGGTAATAATAATAGTAATAGTACTAGTAGTGGTAGTGAGAGGAGAAGGGTAATAACATTAATAGACAGTAATAATGACTACACTGATAGCTATAACTATGACAATAATGGCACTACTACAACTGGAGCCCCTGGTGACGCAGCGTGTTAAACCGCTGAGCTGCTGAACTTGCTGACTGAAAGGTTGGCAGTTCAAATCCGGGGAGCAGGCTGAGCTCCCACTGTTAGCCCCAGCTTCTGCCAACCTAGCAATTTGAAAACATGTGGCATGTGCATGTGTGCTATGTTGTTATGTGCATGTAAAATTAAATAAATTCGAAAATGCATCACAGAGTCCTAGACGCTTGGGAAGTGTTCAACTTGTGATTTTGTGATACGAAATCCAGCATATACATCTCGTTTAATGTGACATACTGTGCTTTTGTGTTGGTAAAATAATAATAATAATCATAATAATAATAATATCTATCTTTGAGTCTATCTTTGAGCTGCTTTGAGTCTCCTTTGCGGAGAGAAAATGCGAGGTATAAGTAAACAACAACAACAACAACAACTCTTGGGTTGTTGTAGGTTTTTTCGGGCTATATGGCCATGGTCTAGAGGCATTCTCTCCTGACGTTTCGCCTGCATCTATGGCAAGCATCCTCAGAGGTAGTGAGGCTACCTCTAGATCTAGGGAAGTCATGCTCCCCATGCTCTCTTCCGCTTTGGTTAGGCCACACCTGGAATATTGTGTCCAATTCTGGGCACCACAATTCAAGAGAGATATTGACTCTAAGCTGGAATGTGTCCAGAGGAGGGCGACTAAAATGATCAAGGGTCTGGAGAACAAGCCGTATGAGGAGCGGCTTAAGGATCTGGGCATGTTTAGCCTGAAGAAGAGAAGGCTGAGAGGAGATAGGATAGCCATGTATAAATATGCGAGAGGAAGCCACAGGGAGGAGGGAGCAAGCTTGTTTTCTGCTCCCCTGGAGACTAGGATGTGGAACAATGGCTTCAAACTACAAGAGAGGAGATTCCATCTGAACATGAGGAAGGAAGAACTTCCTGACTGTGAGAGCCGTTCAGCAGTGGAACTCTCTGCCCCAGAGTGTGGTGGAGGCTTCTTCTTTGGAAGCTTTGAAACAGAGGCTGGATGGCCATCTGTCAGGGGTGATTTGAATGCAATATTCCTGCTTCTTGGCAGAATGGGGTTGGACTGGATGGCCCATGAGGTCTCTTCCAACTCTTTGATTCTATGATTCTATAGATGCAGGCGAAACGTCAGGAGAGAATGCCTCTAGACCATGGCCATTTAGCCCGAAAAAACCTACAACAGCCCAGTGATTCCGGCCATGAAAGCCTTCGACAATACAACAACAACTCCTGTTTGGAAACCTATAGTAGCCCTGTGTGTTCTGTCTGGTTTTTGGATGTGCGGATCAAGCACCACCTGTGGAAATATCAAGGGACCCTCTCCAATTTTCACCCCCAAAGAGGTTCTGATTTTGGACTTTGCAACTGGACGGTACAGTTCTGTAAATCCTCCATTGGGAACCTGATGGGAAGTTCCTCCTTTTCTGCGTCCAGCCAATGACTGAACGTGACGATCGGTCAAAGAAGGACTCTGGCCCTCGTTGTGGACAAGAGGAGCCCCACCACTTGGAGCGCGGAGGCCGAGGGACACGGTTGGGGAGCCGGCCCTGAATAGGATTAGCCTGGACTCGGGGGGCGGAGATTAAGCCCGGCTTCTCTTCCCTGGATCAATGAAAGGATTCCTGGCCCGCTCGCCGCTCTATTTGGAGGGCCTCCCCACAAAAAAGCGGCCGTTCTTTGTGCCGCCTTCCCTTCGGAGCGGATTTAGTCCCCTCTTTATATTCCGCTCACACCGACGTGGGACCCCCGCGACCCAAACTCTCCTGCTGATGCTTTATGGATTTCATAAAGACCTTCGTTGAAAGAGAACCATTGCACATGACGCACACACACACATCCTTTTCCCTTTGCGGCTTCGGGACAGTACACAGTGCCACCAAATCGCAGAGTTGTGCCATTAGAAGGGACCCCCAAAGACCATCCAGTGCAGCCCCCTTCTCCCATGCAGGAGTCTACAATCCAAGCCCTCCCAACAGATGGCCACCCATTCTTGGATGGAACGCCTCCAAAGAAGGCAACTCAACGCACACATCCTTTCCCCTTTGCGTTTTCGGCACGGTCCACGGTGCCACCAAATTGCAGAGTTGTGCCATTGGAAGGGATCCCCAAAGGCCAACCAGTGCAGCCCCCTTCTCCCACGCAGGAGTCCACAATCCAAGCCCTCCCAACAGATGGCCACCCATTCTTGGATGGAACGCCTCCAAAGAAGGCAACTCAAGGCACACATCCTTTCCCCTTTGCGGTTTCGGCACTAGTCCACGGTGCCACCAAATCGCAGAGTTGTGCCATTGGAAGGGACTCCCAAAGGCCAACCAGTGCAGCCCCCTTCTCCCATGCAGGAGTCCACAATCCAAGCTCTCCCAACGGACGGCCACCCAGCCTTGGCTGGAACGCCTCCAAAGAAGGCAACTCAAAGCACACATTCTTTTCCCTTTGTGGTTTCGGCACGGTCCACGGTGCCACCAAATTGCAGAGTTGTGCCATTGGAAGGGACCCCCAAAGGCCATCCAGTGCATCCCCCTTCTCCCATGCAGGAGTCCACAATCCAAGCTCTCCCAACAGATGGCCACCCAGTCTTGGTTGGAACACCTCCAAAGAAGGCAACTCAACGCACACATCCTTTCCCCTTTGCAGTTTCGGCACGGTCCATGGTGCCACGAAATCACAGAGTTGTGCCATTGGAAGGGACCCCCAAAGATCAACTAGTGCAGCCCCCTTCTCCCATGCAGGAGTCCACAATCCAAGCCCTCCCAACAGATGGCCATCCAGTCTCGACTGGAACGCCTCCAAAGAAGGCAACTCAACGCACACATCCTTTCCCCTTGCGGTTTTGGCACAGTCCACGGTGCCACCAAATCGTAGAGTTGTGCCATTGGAAGGGACCCTCAAAGATCAACTAGTGCAGCCCCCTTCTCCCATGCAGAGTCCACAATCCAAGCCCTCCCAACAGATGGCCACCCAGTCTTGGTTGGAACGCCTCCAAAGAAGGCAACTCAACGCACACATCCTTTCCCCTTTGCGGTTTCGGCACGGTCCATGGTGCCACGAAATCACAGAGTTGTGCCATTGGAAGGGACCCCCAAAGACCATTCAGTGTGCCCCCCTTCTCCCATGCAGGAGTCCACAATCCAAGCCCTCCCAACAGATGGGCATCTAGCCTTGGCTGGAATGCCTCCAAAGAAGGCAACTCAACGCACACATCCTTTCCGCTTTGCGGTTTCGGCACAGCCCACGGTGCCACCAAATCGCAGAGTTGTGCCATTGGAAGAGACTCCCAAAGACCATTCAGTGCAGCCCCCTTCTCCCATGCAGGAGTCCACAATCCAAGCCCTCCCAACAGATGGCCACCCATTCTTGGCTGGAACGCCTCCAAAGAAGGCAACTCGACACACATCCTTTCCCCTTTGCGGTTTCGGCACGGTTTTGGCTATCTGTCGGGGGTGCTTTGAATGCAATTTTCCTGCTTCTTGGCAAAATGGGGTTGGACTGGATGGCCCAGGAGATCTCTTCCAACTTTATGGTTCTATGAGGAAGAGCCCTTTGGGTTTGGCCAGTTACCCAATGACATGTCTCTCGAATGTCTCACTTGCTTGCCCTGCAGTTTGGATAGAAGGCTTTCTTCTTCCCTGGCTTTGCCTCCCCTCCGTCTCCCCATCCCCGTCCCAGCTGTTTCCCCCTCCCCACTTTGGCATTCCTATGGCCAGAAATCCAGAGCCATCTGTCTTTGGGATGCCAGCGGGGGAGAACGGGAACTCATTGGGGCTTATTATCCTTTCCTTTGAAAAGCTTAGAGAAAAGAAGGGAGGGGGGTGTGCTTCTTCGCCCCTCTCCCCTTCCCCACATTGACATTTTTCTAAAGATTGGATGAACTTGGACCCAGTTTTTCTCCATCCCTTGAACCCCCCCCCCCCAACCAACCAACTCAAATATTTGCAAAGAAGCCTTGCACTGGCTTCAATAGATTGTGGATTGATGGAACCAACCAAGGGTGCATCTACACTGGAGAATTGGTGCACTTGGACACTTATTTGATCTGCAATGGCTCAAGGTTTTAATAGAAAGCCATGGGATGATACTCAGTATTGGTGCCAATCAGGTCTCCAAGGGAAGCGTGTTGTATAAATGGACTCCAAGTGGCTTACATTAAAAGTATTAGTTAGGTTTTAATTGAAATCAGTTAGGTTTCAATAGAAAGCCATGGAATGAGACTAGCGTTGATGCCAATGGGGTCTCCAAGGGGAGTACTTTCTATAAATAGATAGGAAAGGTTAGCCATGAAATGACACCAGTTTTTGTTCCATTTGGGTTTTCTATAAATGGATTTAATTGGTTAGGATTGCATAGAAAGCCATGAAATGACACCAATATTGGCGCCAATCAGGTCTCCAAGGGAAGTATATTCTACTAATGGGTTTAATTGGTTAGGATTTAATGAAAAGCCACTGGTTTTGGTGCCATTTGGGTCTCCAAGAGGAGTATATCCTATAAATGGATGAAATTAGTTGGGATTTACTAGAAAGCCATGGAATGACATCAGTGTTGGTGCCATTTGGATCTCCAAGGGGAGGATATTCTATATAAATGGATGAAATTGGTTGGGATTTACTAGAAAGCCATGGAATGACACCAGTTTTTGGTGCCATTTGGGTCTTCCATAGATGGATGAAATTGGTTAGGATTCAATGGAAAGCCATGGAATGACACCAGTGTTGGTGCCATTTGGGTCTCCAAGTGGAGTATATCCATTGGTTGGGATTTAATAGAAAGCCATAAAAAAACACCAATTTTGGTGCCGTTTGGGTTTTCTATAAATAGATGAAATTGGTTAGGATTGAATAGAAAGCCATGGGATGATACCCAGTATTGGTGCCAATCAGGTCTCCAAGTGGAGCATATTCTATAAATGGATGAAATCCATTAAGATTTACTAGAAAGCCATGGAATGACGTCAGTTTCAGTGCCATTTGCATCTCCAAGGGGAGTATATACTATAAATGGATGAAATTGGTTGCAATGTACTAGAAAGCCATGGAATGACACCAGTTTTGGTGCCATTTAGGTCCTCTATAAATGGATGAAATCGGTTGGGATTCAATAGAAAGCCATGGGATGAGACCGGTGTTGGTGCCATTTGGATCTCCAAAAGGAATATATCCTATTAATATATATAAGCATTTTTCTTTTACTTTCAACATTGTCTAAAGGCTGTTTTGAAGAGCAACTCAGGACAGTCTCCTCCTATGGCACCAACTTAGAGAAGTTTTGGAGATTGCATCTCCCTTAACCCTCCACCCAGCGTGACTCTTTTCTCCCACAGCAACCTGTTGACGGACTACCCTAACCAGCACCAAAATCGGTGTCATTTCATGGCTTTCTATTCAATCCTATCAATTTATAGGATACTTACTTACTTACTTAGGCAATCCCTCGTTGGCCGAGTAGGATAGTCTTCCAGGATCAGTATTCTGGTGGGTCCGTAGGTGGCTGTGGAGCCCTATTCTTGACCTGAATCGTCTCCCACAGTGTGGGCATTGGTTTCCAGGTGGAAGGCGGTCCCGGTCGGAGTTGGCTTGACGCACCTTCCTCTTGGCACATTTCTCTTTGTCATCCTCCATTTGTCCCTCTTCAAATTCTACAACACTGCTGGCCACAGCTGACCTCCAGCTGGAGTGCTCAAGGGCCAGGGCTTCCCAGTTCTCAGTGTCTATGCCAGAGTTTTTAAAGTTGGCTTTGAGCCCATCTTTCAATCTCTTTTCCTGCCCACCAACATTCCGTTTTCCGTTCTTGAGTTCGGAGTAGAGCAACTGCTTTGGGAGACGGTGGTCAGGCATCTGGACAACGTGGCCGGTCCAGTGGAGTTGATGGCGGAGGACCATCGCTTCAATGCTGGTGGTCTTTGCTTCTTCCAGCACTCTGACATTTGTCCACTTGTCTTCCCAAGAGATTTGCAGGATTTTCCAGAGGCAGCACTGATGGAATCGTTCCAGGAGTTGCATATGACATCTGCAGACAGTCCATGTTTCGCAGGCATACAGCAGGGTTGGGAGGACAATAGCTTTATAAGCAAGCACCTTGTTCCCCTTATGGATGTCCCAGTCCTCAAACACTCTCTGCTTCATTCGGAAAAATGCTGCGCTCGCAGAGCTCAGGCGGTGTTGTATTTCAGTGTCGATGTTGACTTCGGTAGAAAGGTGGCTGCCAAGGGAGCGGAAATGGTCGATATTTTCTAATGTTACACCATTAAGCTGTATTTCTGACATTGGAGAAGGGTTGGCTGGTGACTGCTGGAAGAGCACTTTGGTTTTCTCAATGTTTAATGACAGACTGAGCTTCTCATATGCTTCTGCAAAGGTGTTTAGAGTTGCTTGCAGATCTTCTTCTGAATGCGCACAGACAACATTGTCATCAGCATACTGGAGTTCTATAACAGATGTTGTTGTAACCTAGGTTTGTGGAATCAGGTGTCAAACAGGGATGTGTTCTTGCCCCAACTTTATTCTCCATCTTCATTGCTATGATACTTCACCTTGTTGATGGGAAGCTTCCCATCGGAGTGGAAATCATCTATCGGACAGATGGCAAGCTGTTTAACCTCAGCAGACTGGAAGCCAAAACCAAAAGAAAACAAGGAAGTCTTCATCCAGATACAAAATAAAGTCTCTTACGAAGTCCCAAAAGAAACATCAGTCTTCCATCAGACAATGGATGATGAACTAAGTCCTTAGCAGCAGACACAAAAGCTGACTGCTTTTGCTACTGATTTATAGCCCTGAATTCCCCATGCAGGAGGTGCTAGGGCGTCTCCCAATTAGCACAGCGTTTTTAGCAGCTATCCTAGCAGAACACCGTCTGTGCTCTGTCTCTTTTCATCTCTCTAGAAATGTGGGCACTTTCAAACCTTCATTGTCTGATTCTTCTGCTCCCTCCAATTCCTGATCACTTCCCTGCTCCCCTTCCTCCTCCGAAGATGAGGAATCCCTAACAGAGACTCTGCTCAACCCGCTTTCCCCTTCTCTTGTTTGGTTCCAGTTGGACAACCTGCAAGCAGAAGCACCAGCTGGCCAAGGCCCGGGCCGGAGAGGCAGTGATGTCCCCCGAAGGGGAGAAGCTTCACAGTGACAGCGGGGTCTTCCTCGACACCCACAGCCTCCAGGAACACCACCCACTCAACAAGGGTAAGAGCCTCGTCTCGAGGGTGGAAACGTCTATTAGCACCTCCATTCACCTGCTTGGCTGGGTTGAATGCACTCAGATAGAAGTCAAGGGCATGTTTTAGGGCTGAAATGATGGGTTGTAGTTATGCTAAATGTGTTTCTGCATAGAGGGGAAAGGACTCATGCCAACTCCAGCTAGCCTTGGCCACCATGGCCATTTCCCAAGCCAGACATTCAAAAACTCCAGAACCGGTGGAGAGATTAGAGAGGGGCTCTGCGTCCCCCTTGGCTCACTGGAATCACAGAAACAGTCCCATATACCAAAATCACTTGTGAAAACCTACAGGATTTGAACTCCAAGAAGAAATCTCACAAATGGTAGCTGGGGTTCACCTTGGGGTATCAGGTAATTGGCAGATATAATACAAGAACTTAGGCGATCCCTGGTAGCCTGAGGATGATGGTCCTCCAAGTGTAGTGTCTTGATGGTGGGTTTATAGGTGGCTGTGGAGCCCTATTCTTGATCCACATGTTCTCCCGCAGTGAGGACATTGGTTTCAAGTGGAAGGTGGTCCCGGTCAGGGTTGGCTTGACGTGCCTTCCTCTTGGTATGTTTCTCACGTTTCACCTCCATTTGTGCCTCTTCAAATTCCGCAGCACTGCTGGCCACAGCTGATCTCCAGCTAGAATGCTCAAGGGCCAGGGCTTCTCAGTTCTCAGTGTCTCTGCCACAGTTTTTAAGGTTGGCTTTAAGCCCATATTTCAGTTTCTTTTCCTGTCCAGAAATGTTATGTTTCCCATTCTGGAGTTGGGAGTAGAGTAACTACTTCAGGCATTTGGACAATGAGGCTAGTCCAGTAGAGTTGACAGCAGAGGATCATTGCTTTAATGCTGGTGGTCTTTGCTTCTTCCAGCATGCTGACGTTTGTCCACCTGTGTTCCCAAGAGATTTGCAGGATTTTTTGGAGGCAACGCTGATGGAATTGTTCCAGGAGTTGAGTGTGACGTCTGTAGACAGTCCACGTTCTGCAAACACAGAACAGGGTTGTTAGGACAATGCTCCAGGAGTTGAGTTTGACATCTGTAGACAGTCCACATTTTGCAAGCATAGAACAGGGTTGGGAATACAATGCTCCAGGAGTTGATTGTGATGTCTGTAGACAGTCCACATTTCGCAAGCATAGAACAGGGTTGGGAGGACAATGCTCCAGGAGTTGAGTGTGACGTCTGTAGACAGTCCACGTTTCACAAGCGTAGAACAGGGTTGGGAGGACAATGCTCCAGGAGTTGAGTGTGACGTCTGTAGACAGTCCACATTTTGCAAGCATAGAACAGGGTTGGGAGGACAATGCTCCAGGAGTTGAGTGTGACGTCTGTAGACAGTCCATGTTTCACAAGCGTAGAACAGGATTGGGAGGACAATGCTCCAGGAGTTGAGTTTGATGTCTGTAGACAGTCCACATTTCGCAAGCGTAGAACAGGGTTGGGAGGTCAATGCTCTAGGAGTTGAGTGTGACATCTGTAGACTATCCACATTTCGCAAGCTTCCATGGAGACTCCTTTCCCCCAGGATAATAGCTCTTCCAGAAGTGGATTTTCCTTCCAATGAGAGATTTCTCTCCCTTCCTGTTGTCTCACTCTGTTCTTAACTATGAGTCATATGTAAGTTGGGTGTTTGCAACCCGGGGATGGCCTCTCTAATGTGTCCCCTCTTTTCCCCCGCACACAGCGCATAGGGCCGAACCCCGCTTGTTTGTGAACCTCCCTCCGCACAAGAAGGAGGAGGTGGAGCGTCTGCTGGAGGCCCCCAACCATGGCAAGGACTGGCGCCGCCTGGCCGACCGCCTGGGCTACGAGGACGAGACTATCGAGATCTTTGGTCGTGGGGAGGCCCCCGCCCACACACTGCTCTCCGACTGGTCATCCAAGGAGGGGGCCACGCTGGAGGCCCTGAGTGCGGCCCTCATGGCCATTGAAAGGGAGGACGTGGTGGAGAACTTGAACTCTCCAGCTGAGATCAGCTCCGTGGTGTGAGGAGGAAACTGAACGACGGGTGGACATTTGGAGTTGTTTTGATTTGTTGATTGAGTTTGACTAAGAACAGGGTATGGAGGAAAACCAGGGACGGGGAACCTTTTGTTGTTGTTATTGTAAAGGGGTGGAAAAGTGACCTTGAGCAGACAGTGGACTTGGTGAATGCCAGTGTGACCTCCTAGATGGACAATGATGCTCACATTGAAGAGATGCAACTGAACTCAGTCTATAGACTGCTGATTTGGAGACTTTCAACGTTGTGAGATTATGTAGGTCGACATCCATGGGATCAATGAACACCAACATGAGGTTATATCAAGGAGATGAAACTGTATTGTTCCATGGGTAAGAGAACGAACTGAGACTGTTTGCTGATTTGAAGACCTCTATCATCTAGAGCTCATTGAGGTTGACATCCATGGTTTCAGGAAATACCAATATGAACTTCTAGATGGATAACCTATGGACATTGAAGAGCGGGAGATCCTCTAAGCCCCAAAGATCAACTAGGTTGACATCTGTGTAGTCAATGAACATCTGTTGTTCCATGCGTAGGACAAGGAACTTCCTTTTTGCAAATCCGAGCTCTAAAGATCATGTAGGTTGATATCAGTGGAGTCAGTGAACACTAGTGTGACTTCCTGGGAAGATTGAAGAGATGCAACTGTATTGATCAAAGTGTAGGACAAAGAACTTAACCTGCTTGCCAATTTGGAGATCTCCATGTCCTGTAGTGGACACCTATGGGGTTAATGAAGACCAGTGTGACCACCTGGATATCTTGAAGAGTTGCAACTGTACTGATCTATAGGCAGGACAAGGAACTCAACCTGTTTGCAGATTTCCATGATCTAGAGATCATGTCAGTTGACAACCGTTGGGTAATGGAACATCTATGTGACCTCCTGGATGGATGACCTATTAGTATATTGAAGAGATGAAACTGTTAGTTCTATGGGTAGCACAATGAACTCTCTTTTTGCAAACATAGGAACCCCCAAGCTCTAGAGTTCACGTAGGTTGACATCCGTGGGTCAGTGAACATCAATATGATCTCCTGTGTTGCGGGATAGGTTTGTGACTTATAGTTTTCCAATCACACCCTCCCTGGAGCCACTACACACTGGACAAACGATAGGGTAAGCAAAACACAGCAGAGTCCATTCACAGCAACTAGCAGTTTTGGTCAGTTAATCAGTCTTATTGGCAGAGTACAACTGCAACGTCTCACCTTCTTCAGAACATTGTTTAGTAAATTCACAGATTCAGTTTGCATCCAGAATATCAGGAGGCTTTCATCTTGACATATTGCACTATTTACAGCTGTACACAGATTTCCAAATACAATCAGGATTTGTACGTATAAACAATTAGCAGATACAGAGATGTACTTGCGACAATGTTCTCCCAGCAAGTGAGAGATTGAGCATTTGCGCTCTCCTTTTATAACCAACTGCTGACGTGTCATCAGTAAGGGACAACTGAATGATGCAACCCCTTGTCATAAACCTCACATGATCATGACTCATCCATGTCTGCTGGTCCCTTAGGTATTTCATCATGACCCTCTCAGTCATTCCACAGGTGTGTTATCACATGTCCAGTAGAACTGTATTTTACACATAGACTCAATGCTGGAGCATTTCTATCCAAAAGAGACGTCACTGCATTGATCCATGGGTAGGACAAAGAACTGGGCCCGCTTGCCAATTTGGAGATCTCCAAACTCTACAAATCATGTAGGTTGACATCCATGGAGTCAATGAACACCAGTGTGTATATTGTTAGGGATGCAACTCTATTGATCCATGAGTAGGGCAAAGAATGGAACTTGTTAGAGATTATGTAGGTTAACATATGTAGGTCAATGAACGCCAACACGATCTCCTGGATGGATGACCAATGGGCACATTGAAGAGATGCAACTGTGTTGATCCATGGGTAGGACAAAGAACTGAGTCTGCTTGCTAATTTGGAGATCTCCAAACTCTACAAATCATATAGGTTGACATCCAAGGAGTCAATGAACACCAACATGACCTCCTGGGTATGTTGTTAAGAATGTATTGATCCATGGGTAGGACAAAAAATGGAGCCTGCTAGAAATTATGTAGGTTGACATATGTAGGCCAATGAACACCAACACGATCTCATAGGTGGATGACCTATGGGCATATTGAAGAGATGAAACTGTGTTGATCCATGGGTGGGACAAAGAACTGTATCTTTCTACAAATTTGGAGACCTTCAAACTCTAGAAGTCAGGTCAATGGACATCCATGAAGTCAGTGAACACCAACATGACCTCTTGGGTGGAAAGCCTGTGGATATATCAATCGAATGAAAGTGTATTGATCCAAAGGTAGGACAAAGAACTGAGCTTGCTTGCCAATTTGGAGATCTCCAAACTCCAAATCATGTAGGTTGACATCCATGGAGGCAATGAACACCAACTGTGTACATTGCTAGGAATGCAACTGTATTGATCCATGGGTAAGACAAAGAATGGAGCCTACTAGAGATTATGTAGGTCAATGAAAACCAACATGATCTCCTGGATGGATGGCCTATGGGCATATTGAAGAGATGCAACTGGGTAGGACAAATTTGGAGACCTCCAAACTCTAGAGGTCAGGTTGATGGACATCCTTGCGGTCAGTGAACATCAACATGACCTCTTGGATGGACAACCTGTGGCTATATCAATGAAATGAAACTCTATTGATCCATGGATAGGACAAAGAACTGCGTCTAGTTGCTGATTTGGAGATCTCATTATTTAGAAATCATATAAACGGATATCCGTGAGATCAATGAACACCAACATGACCTCCTGGATGGAGGATATTGAAGAGATGCAACTGTATTGATCTATGGATAGAACAAATAATGGAGCCTGCTAGAGATTATGTAGGTTGACATCTGTAGGTCAATGAACACCAACACGATCTCCTGGATGGATGACCTATGGGCATATTGAAGAGTTGATCCATGGGTAGGGCAAGGAACTGCATCTTTTTGCAAATTTGATGACCTCCAAACTCTAGAGGTCAGGTGGATGTAGGATGTAGGATATTGAAGAGATGCAACTGTATTGATCCATGGATAGGTCAAAGAACTGAATCTTTTTGCAAATTTGGATACCTCCAAACTCTAGAAGTCAGGTAGATGGAGGATACTGAAGAGATGCAACTGTATTGATCCATGGATAGGTCAAAGAACTGCATCTTTTTGCAAATTTGGATACCTCCAAACTCTAGAAGTCAGGTAGATGGAGGATACTGAAGAGATGCAACTATATTGATCCATGGGTAGGGCAAGGAACTGAATCTTTTTGCAAATTTGGAGACCTCCAAACTCTAGAGGTCAGGTAGATGGAGGATATTGAAGTGATGCAACTGTATTGATCCATGGATAGGTCAAAGAACTGAATCTTTTTGCAAATTTGAGGGCTTCCAAACTCTAGAGGTCAGGTAGATGGAGGATGGAGGATACAGAAGAGATGCAACTGTATTGATCCATGGATAGGTCAAGGAACTGAATCTTTTTGCAAATTTGGAGACCTCCAAACTCTAGAGGTCATGTAGATGGAGGATACTGAAGAGATGCAACTGTATTGATCCATGGATAGGTCAAAGAACTGAATCTTTTTGCAAATTTGAGGGCTTCCAAGCTCTAGGCATCATGTAGGTGGACGTCCGTGTCTCTTGTTCTCCACTGCAGAAGCTACTTGGATTCAATGTCCTTGAGTTTTCCCCTTCATCATCTTTGCCAAGGTGATAGGACCAAATGGGATATTAAATGGAGACATCTCTTGCACAGTAAGCAAAAATCAGAAGGGTTGTTGTAGGTTTTTTCGGGCTATATGACCATGTTCTAGAGGCATTCTCTCCTGAATTGCAGAAGTTCTGCAATTCCAAAGGAGGAATAGGGAAACCCAAGGGAGGGCCTAAACTATGTGGCGATCATGGGGATGCTTTCAGTGGAGAACAACCTGATCTCACTACACTGTAAACTTCTAATATATGATTCTTTTCTTTCGTTCTTTTATAAAGAAGGGACTTGGGGACTTGGTGGTTTTATATCTATGTGTGTGTGTGTGTACATCTGTCTTTTATCTCTTATTTTATTTTGGTTGGTTGGATCATTGTGTCACGCTCTGCTGTAATGACCAGAAGAAAGAGGTGGTCTTTCCCTGGTCCTGAACAGTCATATTAAATGTGGTTTTGGAGAAGGAAGTCTCTTTGGTTGGCATGGGGAAAACTGAAAATTTTGGAAGTTGCTTGAGCAGTTATGGGATGGAAGAAACACTTTGAATTACATGGGTCCCACTCTGGGAGAAAGGCATTAGATCAGTGGTTCTCAACCTTCCCAATGCCACGACCCCTTAGTACAGGTCCTCATGTTGTGGTGACCCCCAACCATAACATTATTTTTGTTGCTACTTCACAACTGTAATTTTGCTACTGTTATGAATCGTAATGCAAATATCTGATTTGCTAGATGTATTTTCATTCACTGGATCAAATTTGGCTGGGATTTATAGTTCACCTACAATCCAGGAGCATTTTGAACTCCACCAAGGATGGAATTGAACTTGGCACACAGAGCTTCCATGACCAACAGAAAATACTGGAAGGGTTTGGTGGACATTGACCTTGAGTCACTGGACCAAATTTGGCACAAATACCCGATACTGGTGAGGTTGGGGGTGATTGATTTTGTCATTTGGTAATGCTGGAGTTGCTGGGATTTATAGTTCACCTAAAATCAAAGAGCCTTCTGAACTCCACCAATGATGGAATTGAATCAAACTTGGCACACAGAATTCCCATGACTGAGAGAAAACACTGCGAAGGTCTGGTGGACATTGACCTTGAGTTTTTGGAGTTGTAGTTCACCTACATCCAGAGAACACTGTGGACTCCAGCAATGATGGATCTGGATCAAACTTGGCACAAAGACTCAATATGCCCAAATGTGAACACTGGTGAAGTTTGGGTAAAATAGACCTTGACATTTGGGAGTTATGGTTGCTGGGATGTATAGTTCACCTAGAGTCAAAGAGCATCTTGAACCCAACCAAGAACCAACAATAGAATTGGGCCAAACTTCCCACACAGAACCCCCATTACCAACAGAAAATACTGTGTTTTCTGATAGTCTTTGGCGACCCCTCTGACATCCCTTCACGCCCCCCCCAGGGGTCCCGACTCCCAGGTTGAGAAACACTGATCTAGACCCTCGAAGGTCATACAGTCCAACCTCTGTAGATAGACAGACAGACAGAGACAGATGATAGATAGATACCACAGGTAGACTATCTATCTATCTATCTATCTATCTATCTATCTATCTATCTATCTATCTATCATCTATGTGGCCCATCCTGGTAAGTCTCAAATTATCTATATCTATTGTATCTATCAATCAATCAGACAGACAGACAGACAGACAGACAGATAGATAATTGGAGCTTTATCAGGATGGACCAGATAGCCAGATATATAAAATGTGGGCCTTCCTAGAGGGGCCTCCTTACACAAACCAATCCCATCCGCTCCAACCCCCCCCCCCTCGTCCCAGCTGTTGGGCAGATGTTTCCATCATTTCCCGGCCGCGCTTTTCTCTGAAGTTGGATCAGTTTAATGACTTGCAGGAAGGGTGGGTGACGCTGTGCCAGGGAATATCCTGAAGGCTGTTTTTTTGGAAATGCAGCATGGCGGAAGAGGAACCAACAATCCCAAGAGAGAGAGATAACAAGATCCTCAGATCAGGATTATCCAAGGAATACCATTTTGCTGCAAAAAAAACCCTGAGGATGTCACAGGAGAAGTGGTCCTGTGGGGTGCGCCTGTCTACACTGTGGAATTAATGCAGTTTGATGCCACTTTTACTGCCGTGGATCGATGCTACAGAACCCTGGACGTTGTCATCTTGCAAGGCCTTTACCCAAGAATGCTGGTGGCGTGTCAAAAACCAATTATTTGCATACAATAGGAAAGGTTCTAGATCATCTCACTGACTCTGAGTGGAACATGTTTGATATAGCACATACTGTAGTCAAGATTCTAGATCAGCTACATAGCTATGTATGAGAAACAAATATTCATGCACAGCAGCCAGGGTTCTAGATAAGCTACACAGCTACATACAAGAATCAAATATTTACATACCTTGGCCCAGGTTCTAGATCAGGCATGGGCAAACTTGGGCCATCTGCATGTTTTGGACTTTAACTCCCACAATTCCTAACAGCTGGAATTGTGGATGTTGAAGTCCAAAACACCTGGACAGCCCAAGTGTGCCCATGCCTGTTCTAGATCAACTACATGGTTATATATGAGTAGCAAATATTTACATACCATAACCAGAGATCCAGATCTGTTACATAGCTGTGTATGAGAATCAAGCAATTACATACCATTACTACGGTTCTAGATCAGCTACATGGTAATGTATTAGGAGCAAATAACTACATGCCATTGGTAGGGTTGTAGATCAGCTACACTGTGATGTATGAGGAGCAAATAACTACATACCATAGCCAGGGTTCTAGATCGGCTACATGGACATGTAAAGACAAAATATCTGCACACCACCACCAGGGTTATTGATTAGCTTCATGGCTATGCATGAGGAGCAAATATTTACATACCACAGGTAGGGTTCTAAATCGGCTATGTGGCTATGTATGAGGCACAAACATTCACACATAATATCGAGGGTTCTAGATCAATTGAATGGCTATGGGCAAATATCTACATACCATAGACAGGGTTCTAGATTGGCTACATGGATATCGAAAGACCAAATGTTTACACACCACCACAAGGGTTCTTGATTAGCTTAATAGCTATGCATGAGGAGCAAATATTTACATACCACATGCAAGGTTCTAAATTGGCTATGTTGCTATGTATGAGGTATAAATATTCGCACATAATAGCCAGGGTTCTAGATCCATTGCATGGCTATCAGCAAATATCTACATACCACAGGTTGGGTTCTAGATCAGCTACATGGATAGCAAAAGACCAAATATTTACACACCACCACAAGAGTTCTTGATTAGCTTCATGGCTATGCATGAGGAGGAAATTACATACCACAGGCAGGGTTCTAAATCGACTATGTGGCTATATATGAGGCACAAATATTCACACACAACAGCCAGGGCTCTAGATCAGTTGAATGGCTATGAGAAAATATCTACATACCATAGGTAGGGTTCTAGATCAGCTATGTAGCTGTGTATGAGAAGCAAACATTTACATATCAAAGCCAGGGTTCTAGATCAACTGCTTAGGTG